GATAATTAGTCCCTTTCTGTCAGTGAGGTCGCCCCTCCTCTGGCAGTGGTACCTAATGCTTCCCCATCTACTGGAGGCATTGGAAACCACTTGGGCGGGAAACTTTTTGCCTAATTTAGCTCAGAGGTCTCCTAGAGACTTGAGGTTCTATTACGTGCTGTAAATCTACGACACGGGACCCATGGCTTAAAGTCCCTCCCAGAGGACTTGTTCCCTGAATTTTTCCGCCCTTAAAAATTCCACAACCTCCGCTGGGTTTGAACCCGCGTACCTTGAGTCATGAGGTGGGAACGTTACCCCTAGACTACGGAGGCCGCCATATTCACAGTGTTACCATTTGCTTTGTCATCTACATCTTTCTGTCATATGGATAAATACAGGAACTTGCTGCAGAACTGCTGAACTGATTTTCATGACATTTCATACTGAGGAGCTTTACTAAGATTTGTTGACATTCCAATTTTGGTTAAAATCAGACAGTGACATTGGACACACTACATGAAAGCCTACATACATTTCTGCACAGATCTTCATTGTAGCTCGCTCAAAATTTCAGAGAACAAGACGTTTGGAACAAGAGCTGCAGAGAAAAATGGAACATATTTCATACCCAGTTTGCTTTTTCTTAACTTACATTTTTCAAAAGAATGGAATAAAAGGGAGAAAATGCACCGAAACTGTTACACTGTGCTTACATTACTTAGATTCACAGCTTGTTGCATACTGAGACTAATGAAACTGAACGTCTGAATGCAGAAACATGCGGCTCCTATCTATATGTACTATTAGATCTCACTGTGGGTTACCTTCCTGATTCCAGCAGTGTCACCTGCTCCTGAAACGAGATCTATATCAACATGTGCCATGAGCCCCACCAACTGATCACGGAAGTCACGTCCACATTTCAGAGAGTGATGCTGTAAGAAATTCGCATAACACCACTGTGTGTCAATATTCAGCAGCATGAGATGATCACCACCTCGTGTAAAGAGGCTATGTTGTGCAGCATCAGCATGGACTGTCTTGTCCTTGGGTCCGTAGAAAATGGCACAATTTACAGGAAGCACTGCAGCAATAGTCAGAAACTCTTCTGAGCACTTATACCTGCAATCAAAGGATACATCTAACTGAATGTTTTTATCCGTTTTTGCTCAGTCAGGAAACAGTACAGACTTTCAGGAAAATTATAAAAGCAAGAAAAGTATTTCTGATCAGTGTCACGCTACAGGTATGGAGACATTATACACAAAGAGTTATCCATATAAAACTGTGCCCTGAGAGAGTACACTGTATTTTGTACCTCAGTGTACAACTGAAACATGGGCAAGAAGAATGAATGTATTTCTCACAATGAAGGATACTTCCAGCATGTTTTATATAATTATTTAATTTGGGTTCACTGAGATATAAAATGTTTCCAATATGGATATGATCTTAAATATATCAATCTGTATATACTAAGACTTCTAAGTGCTTATAGCAAAAATAAGTGCAAAATATGAATTAGAACCGTTAACTGCATGCTGGCATATCAAGTAACTTACTTTTCTGATGCAAGGATCATTTTTGCCATCATGGGATCAACGGGAAATTCAGCCATTTGACGGCCCAGTTTTGTTAGTTCTTCATGATGGTTGAGTGGCCCAAGTGCATGTAACTGCTCTAATGCCAACAATTGCCATAAAGCAGAACATCCTGGGGAAAATAACACTCCACAGTATGTGGAATAAATTATATTTCATGTTACCTTCTGCCAGANTTACCACAGAGATGCATGCAATCCAGCTAGCTGAGCGGTGCACTGTCTGTTTACAAATATCACTACCGCTACTAAAATATGGCTACTTGCCTTACAGCTTCGGGAGATTTGAAATCCCTTCCTCCCAACCAATAAAGGTTAAAAATTATTTTTCTATAACAGTCATGTTAAAGATGCATACTCAAACTTTAAAATTTTATATCACCCAGTGTTCACAAAGTGTTATATCTCAATATTACAACATTCCTACCCTCTGAACACAGAAACTGCAAATGATTATTTGGTCTTCATCAGGGTCTGAGCTCTACTTCTGAAATACTGCATATGAGGGGTATAATACACAAGCTGCTGTCCAAGCTTTTACTCTGTAAAATCATAAGTAACATCTTGCCTTCAGCTGATAGCGACCTTATTTAAAGTCTTTCCCGGAACACTGTACAAAGCCAGGAAATGATGTACTTTCTTGATGGTAATGATGGTAATGATCAGATGGTAAGTACTGGAAGATAAAGTTATTATACTGAGACCAAGGAAAGAAAGAAGTCCCATAGCTTGACCGCCCTCCGCATCTCCCTTGTGCTTCACCTTCCAGCAGCACACTTCACATACTCACCTCCAGTCTTCTAGCCATTTTGTTCACTGCAAAGTTGGAAGGGATAACTTCACTAATGACAAGTGCATTGGAATCAAATAGGTTCGCACATTGCTAATGCTGTAGACTGTACTCGCAAGGAGCTCAGTTGAAATCTCATCCATGACACCACCTATCCTGACAGTTTTTCATGGTTTTCTTCAGTACTTCATCTGACGCAAGGCTGCTTCTTTCCAGATCCTTTCCAATTCATCATTCACCAGTCATCCTACCATTCCATACTATACAGTCAAGTTACTGACTGCTGTAAAGTACTCACATAAAAGAAGAAAGACGAAACAAGCAGCTGCGGAGATGGAGAGGAACTGAACAGCAGGAAGATATTGAGACGCTTCAAGCAGCGTCATCTCCGCCAAACACGAGACCTCCTACTGTCGCCTCAGCATACTCGTAGTATAACTCATGAGCAGAGTAACAGTTTACCTTCCTGAGACTTACATCATAGGTTAGACCAGAAATATTATTGTGGTCAGTTTCCTTCAAACTAACATACAGCAAAGAAAATTACACCTGTAAGGATGTATACGCCATCCACATCCCATTCTCACCAATCTGTTAATAAATCAGTGTTAGAACAGTTTTCTCACCAGTGTCTCAGGAGGTGGAGGATCCAAAAAGTCAAAATGTACAAGGTCACAAATTGCTGGAGCCTTTAATGTCAAAACAGCATTGCCCAAGTTAATATGCTGAATCTCTGGCACCGTCTTATCTTCTAATTCGTGTTTGTATGCCCAGGCTGTATAAAGACAGAAAAACTTTCCCACTGCAATGCGGACTGCACGCCCTGCTCACTCATTTGCAGAGGCCTGGAAGTCAAAATGTTACCCTCATTTATCATTCAATCCATGAACAAAAGAACATGCAACACAACAATCATGTCACTGCTTTCCGCAGCTGAGTGGCAAAGTTGTGGTTTTATATTTTTATAATTGTTACTATTACTGGTCTGTTTTATGGTTTACTTAATCATGCTGTCAGCAGCTCACACTATATAGTGGGGGTGAGCAAACTCACTGAACTGAGCTACAAACAGATGTACACTGGATAGCAAAGATGTTCTTTGCACAAAGCAAATGCTTCATATGTAACTCATTTGCAAGAAAGGACTGACTAAAATCTTTTAAACAAGCAACACTTATGGTTCCAAAGGGCCATGTGCCGTTTGGCCACATCTGCTATTGAGTGTTGAATGGTAAGATGATCAGTGGATACTGATTGGAAATGATGTGGAAAGAAAGAGTCATGGCCTGATTTGTGGTACTATTATCCTACCAGCTGCCTGGATGGGACTAAGGAAAACTTAACGTCGTCACAGAGGATAGCTGATCTCAAAGCCAAGATTTGAACATGGGCCCCCAGCATATGAAGAATGACTGCTACCGATTTGTCTGTGGCATTCAGTGACGTTCTGATTTCATCAGAGCATCTACTGCACTACAAATGCCTGTTAGACAAAACCACCTCAGCTAATGCGGTTTGTATATGTTGGTATTTGAGTGTTTGATCCACAAATACATACTTAATACAGTACTAAGGAGCAGAGACAGCTCACTTGGCATACTGACCAGGCTATGGGCTCGATAACTTGGGTCTGAATCCCCGAAGGGGAAAGATACTTTTCTCTACTTGTCTCTGGGATCCACCCACCCTCCTATCCGAAGGGTACCAGGGGCTCTATTCATGGGGTAAAGAGGCAGCAGCATGAAACTGACCACTCACTGCCACATAATGACATCAGGGATGGTGGAGCTGTACTTGTATGTACCTCCACTCCCCCATGTGCCTTCATGGTATAGTGCCTAATTATGTAATTAAGTATGGGAATAGCTTTATCTTTTTTCTTATCACAATCTTGAATTAAATTAAACCACATAAAAATAACAAAATGAAAACACCAGACACAATGATAAATTTCACAATATGAACCTAAATATACAATTAATAATGAAAACAGCAATATCTTTGCACTGCACATACAGTAAAGGTTAATTACCATGAAAACTGTAACACTCAAGGAAAATTTGTACTGGGCACAAAATTTCTCTATAACTTTTGTTTGAAACATTTTTCATTCTGATAAATAAATATTCTGCAAGTTTTGCTTGAGGAGCAACTGTACCAGGAAAAGACTTTCCAACTGATTTCAGTGATGACTAAGTGTTGCATAAAAAGCCTCTTTTCATATTAACTGTTTTAAGACTCTGTATACTATCAAATTAGTATACTATAATTCTGTATTTCAGCTTCCTGTTGCAATTGTTTAACTTGTTTATTATTTTATTATATTGTTTATTCACTACTTAATTTTAATTGTAGTTTAACATTATACACATTTCTGCACCAAACAGCCATCTTCAGGTCTCTTGATATGTTACAAATACAGTATGTTCCAAAATTATCAGTCCTGAAATAGAAAGACGTCCTGTTGATACCACTGTCTATTCATGTGAAGGCCCCTTGCATGACAGAACCTTCTCAAATCCTGAAGAAATGGTCCAATCACAATGTCCCTGTAGTGTTCTTGGGTGACAGTAAAAGCATTGCTTTCCTCATCCTCAATGAAATAGGGGCCTAATATACCGTGTGCTGAGACGGCACACCATATCGTCACACGTGTACTGTGTAGCGGTTTCTGAATGATAACATCTGGCCACTCAAAACCAAGGAAGCAAGATTATGAATAGTCTTTCCTCCATCGAGAGACCCATTTCCAACAACTGCACAAAACAACTTCCTTTTCAC